GGTTCAGCATTATAAAGATGTTTCAGGCAGGTTACACCCGCGGTATAATGGTAAGGTTACAAGTAGTTTACAAAAAACTTACCCTCGCATTACATTTTTATTTACTGCGGAAGATATATCTGCATTATATCATGGTTACAAACGCGTTACATGACTCTGTACCGAGGAGTATATTTAGGGTATATCACGATTACAAACGCGTTACAGAGTCCTGTACCGCGGAAGGTATATCTTGGGTTTACTCTGGTTACAGGAGCGTTACAAGAAATTGTACCGCGGAGTATACCCAAGATAAATTCGCGGAAGGTATATGGATAGTATACTGCGGTTACAATCGGGTTACCCTGAGATATATTTAAATTACAGATCTACAATGGAGTTACACCCGGTAACCGGTCATGGGGTTTTATTTCGAATTAATATTGCGGAGTATACCCAAGATAAATTTGCGGAAGGTATATGGATAGTATGTATATTTAAATTACAAATTGAGGGTAACCGGTCATGGGGTTTTATTTCGAATTAATATCTGCGTGCGTATTAAGTAGGCAAATTTTTTCCTCCCGCAGGAAGATGGATTCACGGGATTTGGAGATGCTGAAGCGCGCGGCTTGGAGAAGGGGAGATGGAAGAGGTTTACCTTTCTCGATGGTTGCAGTTATGTGCGAACTGCAAGATGAGGAAAATGGAAGCTTCAGGTCTCTGTATATTGCGATTCTGTCCTTGCTTTCCCAGTTAGCTAAATCTGCGAATGTATCGCGGGGGAGTTCGTGAGATGGCGTTGGGTGGAATCGAGAGGAGGGAGGAGGAAGATCAGGAGGAGGTTACGACAGAGGGCTATAGGAGGAGGTGAGGTGGAGCGAGTGCGATGCTTTTGCCCTCTCTTATAGCACAGTGAGTTGGTGAGATCAATACGAGAAGGCGGCAGGGGCGAGCAGGTAGAATAAAAGGAAAGATGCGATTCTGGAAAGCAGCGAACAACAAGTAAAGATTGCGATGGATAAAATAAAGGTAAGAAAAAAAATAATTCGGTTCTCACAGGTCCTCTCTAATCCATATCACTGCGCTTACCGTGGTTGCTCTATTCATTTTTGAGATTTATCCGTCTTTTTCTCTGAGGTTTTTGGTTGTCCATTTTAAACCATCTCTGCCACCCACTACTTCAATTGATCCGGTCACCTATAAGGTTCCTCCACCTTTTACTTGTACCTCTTGCTTCTATGCTAACGTGTGAGATGATTGACGAATTTGAAGTCCATGCAACTCTTGCTATTTTTTCTCCAAGCTGATGATTCTCATGCACACAAGCAAATTTTTTTTTCCCAGGATAAACATGTGCTTATTTTCGCTATAAACTTTCACCATTGTTGGAAAATTCTCTATGAGTCATCCCAACATGAATGTCATTCACAAATTCATATTAGATTGATAATTGATTGGTGAATTTTTAGTTGGTATTTTTGATCACTATATTATTATCAAAATTTCTTTAGAATCATATTATATTCAACTCTTCTCCTGCTGTACATACATTGGGGTATAAGTGAGCCAAGCTAACTTTCAGCTTGAACTCAACTCGCTAATGAGTTATCTAGCTTATCAAACCAAGAATTTGAGCTTGGACATAGATTTGAGGTCTCATATTATAAGAGCTCAAGCTTGGCTTGACTCGGATCGTCTGCTTATCAAGCCATTCAATTAGAGGCCAAACACTCGGTATGGAAAGAGCCATCTCACAAACTTCTTTTCTTTCTTAGATGCCATTGGAACCCTGGATGCCATCTCCCCTCTTTTCGTAGTTGCTGTCGCCATTGTTCTCATCAATTCCTTCTATAATGAGATGTTGTATGACTTCTTCAATGTTAATCCCTTTCCCGCCTTCTGTAGCGTGTCAAACTCTTATGCAACATTCTTGGCGGTCCTCATTGATCCTTTCGTTGCCTTCTTTGATTACCTTCTTTGGCGAGTTCCTATCATGACCTTTTTCGACTTTGGCTTAAGAAGATCACTTGTCAAGTTTTGAGGCCTACGTGGTTGTGCCGGACATTGAGTTGGTGAGGCAACCTCAAGTTTGCCTTGACATGAGCTTGACTCAACTTGTTAACACCCACAATACATATTATGCAGAACTTTATCATGAGAATATTGAAATGGTCTACTTTTCTGATAGCTTCATTGAACCACTTATCACCCTTGTTTGGGTAGTTTTTTCTAGGTTATGGCTACATTACAATCAATCAACTTTATATTCATTGAGATCTAATTTTGGCAAACCCTTACAAATTGATGCTGCTACTTCCCATCTTTTTTGGCCTTTTGTAGTTAGGATCCTGGTGAAAATGGATGTTATCTCTCCTCTTATTAAGGTGGTGTGGAGTGACACAAATTGTGGTTACTGACATAATATTAATTTAAAGGCATCCGGAATGTTGTTTTTTCTATAAGATTTTTGGGCACTTTTACTTTAATTGCTTCAAAACCCATTTGGATTTAAGAAAAATATCTTGGATCTTAAAATTCATTCAAATGCTTATTCCTTCCTTCCCCTTAAATGATTGTTGCTCATAATCATTAAGATTTCTTATCAAAATTTGTGACCAAGTAATCCTTTGGATTCTGCATTAGGAGTGCCTGTCCCTATTTGTTCTTTTAGCTTCAGCATCTACCTCTCTAAAATTAATGTGATTTTTTATCATTCTTTTCTAGAATTTTCTCTTATATTAGTGAAGATACAGAAGCTCATAATTTACTGCATCTTCCTGATTACAATCAGAGCAATTTGGATATGATATTTCATACCCTATTTGCCAGATGGGGCTGTAATTAATATAAAAAACTTTATCGTCACTCTTCATCTCACCAAGCTTTAAATTTGGTGGGCCTTTTTAAGCTTGAACTCTATGACATCCTTATTTAGTCCTATGCATTTTTCTTTTTTCTCCGCCAATTCTTATTAGTTGCCCTTTATTTACTTTTATCATTTAACTGTTAGAAAATATTGTTTAAAAGGCTGTAATTAACTAATTATCGTATTAAACCTTCAAATATAATTTTAAAAATTTGTCAAAGACTTGATAAGTTTTACCTGTGTTCATTGCTGATGAATCTTTAGTACTCAAAATCATTGTAAGAACTTAACACATACATATTAGGATACTAAATTCCTTGGATTCCTTACTTTTTCTTTCTGAAAATGTTGAAGTCAGCTTTTAGAGAATGATGTCAAGTGGCAAGTGCTCTAAGTCTAGTAACGCCTGCTATCACCTTTATGATTGATAATAATTAATGAATTTGAGAAAAAATATTTAACAAATCATTTGATAGCACCACACAAGATTTTCCATCATCAAATTATTAATGAGCCATTCATGGGTCGCCTATACTCATTGGGTGAACAAACCAACAATCCTGTGTAAATTTGTAGAGGAATGGACAAAGATTTTGTTTTTGAAACTTACCCCTTAGTTAATTGGAAGATCAATTCTATATTATGCTCTTCCATGCATCATGCAAATTGAGGAAGTTTCTATCATGTAATGCAATAAAGCAAATTTTAACTTTAATGGAATAATATATTTCAATGTTTAATGTTCTAATTAACCCACTATTTAGGAGTGATTTAATAGTTGTCACAAGTTTGAAAATGATATTGATTTCAATGATTCGAATCAAATCAAATTTAGCAAGGCTTATTTAATTTTTGATGCCACATGTATTGGCCTAAGCCTTTTACTAGCAGTGGTTGAACATAGTCTCAAATACAAAATCAAAGTTCTATACCTTTAGTTTGGGGCATTTTTTTACGTTAGATTTTTTTTCTTCAAGACCTCTTAGGTTTTCAATATGTGGGATTGGTTATGTGAACTTTTATTTACTATGTGAAAAGGTTATTTTTTGTTCAATGAAGTATGAAGTTATTGCTCGAGTATCAACAAAGTCTGAGAGGTTGAACTTAAAACTCTCTTGCTTATAGAGTTAAACATAATTAGTTGTTTAGAAACCTTATCAAAGAAAATATTGTCGGTATTTGTGGCTGATTTTTTAGATGGTTGCAATTTATACATGAAATTTGAAGATGACAGTAAATATTATTTTTTTTTTAAAGAAATTTTCTAGCTTTTTGTTTGGTGCTTTTCTCTGCCCCTTCTCAAAGATAATTAGGTTGAAAATAGGTGAAAAGACATTTTTTCAAAAAAATGTTTTAAGAATTGGAGTGCTTTTTCTTTTTTTTTAATCTGGATTTGTCTCTGTTACTCAGGTTCATTTGAATAATATCAAACCTATGCTGTGATCATATGCTGCTTCATATGAATTTTTTAGGTTGAACTTATGGATGAAAAATATTGATTTAAATTAAGTCAGGCAAATGAAGATTTGAGAGTGTGAAAATATAGTAAAATGAAAATAGAACATGTTATGTAAGCTAATCTCTTATAATGCATGTTTTTTGTCTAAGAGATCCATGTCTCTATTTTCCTTTACATTGCCTGCTGAGTTGGCCTATTATATAGATTCATTAGCACAAGTTTTATAATATTGGCTAATCATAGTAATAAAATTGCTCTTCATTTTCTCTTCAGCTTGATATCCTTGGTAGAATTTGCCATCCTCATCTCCTGCTGCTTATTGGTGCCTGTCCTGATAAAGGTTGCCTTGTGTATGAATATATGGAAAATGGAAGTCTTGATGACAGGCTACAATGCAAAGATAACACGCCTCCACTACCTTGGTTCGACAGATTCCGGATAGCTTGGGAAGTTGCTTCTGCTCTTACTTTTCTTCACAATTCCAAGCCTGAACCAATCATCCACCGTGATCTCAAGCCTGCAAATATTCTACTTGATTGTAATTTTGTTTGCAAAATTGGTGATGTTGGCCTATCTACTTTACTTCCTACTGTGAACTTCTCAATATCTACAATTTACAAGGACACTGCTCCTGTTGGAACTATTTGCTACATAGATCCTGAGTACCAAAGAACTGGCCAAGTCTCCCCAAAATCAGATACGTATGCTCTAGGAATTGTTATCTTACAACTGTTAACTGGTAAACCACCAATAGGACTTGCTTATATTGTGGAATTAGCTTTAGAAGATGGTACTTTATGTGATATCCTGGATTCGAAGGCTGGAGAATGGCCTGAAAAGGAGACACAAGAATTAGCTCTTCTGGGTCTTAGTTGTGCTGAGATACGGCGGAAAGATAGGCCGAATTTGGAGGATCAGGTTCTTCCAGTTCTTGAAAGGTTGAGAAAGAGAGCAGATGAATGCAAAAGTTTAGCGAATTGTCCTCCACCGACTCCTCCAAGTCATTTCATCTGTCCGATACTTCAGGTTCATAAGCGTTATTCCTTGATTTTTTCTTAAACTTGTTTTAATGCTTTAAGTTTTGACTCTTTCTAGTTTGCTTCTCTTAAAGTTGGTATTATTTTAGGTTATCTGATTAGATGAATCATCATCACAAATATATTTTTTTACTTAGATGGAAATAAAATTTTCTTCCTAAAGATTATAAGACAATTTTAGGAGGATGTTGACCACTCAATTAGAGTAATGGTTGTGCATTTATGTCCTTGGAGTATAAATTAATAAATACTTAAGGTAAACAGGGGGAACAGAAAATGTGAGAAGTTAGTATTTTAGGATAAGTTGTTTGGTGGCAAATTATAATTCTATTGTTGTGCAAAGTGATTGGGGATAAGTTTGGTAGTTCCGTTAAAATGATTGTCTTTGAAATTTTAGGTGTTTAGAAATAACCTGTACATAAAAAGATTTGGTAGTAGATTGAGAAGGTATAAAAAATTATTAAAGAACATAATTTATTTATAAGAAGTGGCAATAAGTTAATTGTATTGAATTACACAGTGAATATATGGAAACTCTTGAATGAGTACAAGGAAGGCTGATATAATGTATATGGCGGTGTTTGTGGTGAAGTTTGATGGTGATTGCTATTATTTGGTGTGAGGGATGTACGGGAACTATACGAAAGTGATTTGGGGATTGAAAGGCTTTTAGAAGGCGGAGATCCAAATGTAGCTAAGATCTACTAAAAGATAATGGCGTTTGGGCTAATTTTTATGACATTAATTTTCTGTGTTGTTTAGAAGTTTGTATTCCGAGATATGATGAGTGTAAGTGTTTTCTGAGAAGCTAAGAATATTATAATAATGATTTTGGAGTTATTTAGGGTGGTTATGATATTGATTTTTTGTGCTAAGAAGATCAATTAATTGATTTTGGATAGATTTTGGATCCATAATTGAGTTTGAACAGACTTTGGGTAGTCTATATGCGTTCTCAAATGTACAAACTCTATGATCTTGAAAAAAAAAGGAACATTTTTAGATTTGCAAGCTTTAAAAAACCTAATTGGAAAAACATAAGTCTTCCATAGCTCAATTCTAAGACTCAAGTGAATCCTGAAGGTCGGACTCAAGACCAAATTATTGGCAATCCTCCTCACTCAACACGCCATAAGAACAGCCACAATGTAAGAGCCTTAGTTCATCAATCTGATGAACAAAACTGCTATGTCTCAAGCTATGTAACTTGACAAGTTCAAGCAATCCAGATATAGCAGATTTTCTCAATAAGTGGCTTAGTTAAGGATCCGTTTGGGACAATTTATTTGGTGCGGTGGTGTTTTGAAAACGCATGTGGCCTGTTTGGGTAAACTGTGTTTTGGCAGCTTATGCGTTTTCAAAACACAAAAAGCCGAAAACATCGTTTTTACATCGCATCTATTTAGGTGCGGTGAGAACTTTCTGGCAGCGGTCTGACTTTTCCAAAAAAAAAAAAATTGTTATAGTCATCACACCTAGCTTATCAGCAGATTATTTTTAATCAACTATTCAATAAGCTGTAGCTGCCCCAAACAGACCCTAAATACCAAATCAAAGAGAAAATCCTTATTCAAAAGAGCGTCTATGCATCCCCATGCACTCAAGCCAAGGCTTTACTAAGTACACAAATTCGAAGTAATCCAAAGCCAAATTAGAAGACCAAGCTTTAACAAATTGTATTAGAAAAGCCTAAGCCATAGCCCAAGTTTAGAACTAGAGTGTATCCTAAAGATTAGTCTCAATAAGTTCAAATATGGCAAATTTTTTTACAGTTTTTCTCATTTAACAATTCATAAGAATAACTGCAGTAGAAAGGCTGTCGTATTCTCAGCCTGTTGAGCAATTGCTATCAAGTTTCCGACTAATTTGACTTGAAAAATTCAAGTTGTCAAGATCAAGGTAATATTCTAACTAGTAAAAGGTCACGAAATTAGGAAAAAATAATTTTGTTGAAGGAGACATTAAGTCAAGTTTGGTGTCATTATCAAATTAAAATATTTGCATCCTTCAACATATCCAATCAAGCATAAAATTAAAGAGCGAATGGAGTTGTTCAACAATTCTGGCAAAGCGCAGATCACATAATCAAAGAAGTTATCCAAAAGCTTGTATGCAACCTAAGGCTAGGCTAAGAGAATGTAGTTATCAATAAGTTCACTAATGCATCATAAAGTGGATTGAAATCTCTTGTCCATTAACCTAATACAAACATTGATTCTAGGTTCCTGCCATGCATCCTTCATCAAGTCCTCAAAGCAAGAAGGTAGACTATAGAGGCATGCTTATTCCTCTAACAAGCTGATGAAGAAGAATCATATCAATTTCTATGTTTTGTTTGTTAAAGCAAAAAGTTCAAGAGAGAAGAAAATTAAAATATCAAAATCATCATGTTCATCAAGTATAATACGTTACACTGATGACACTGGACTTGAGACAATCTCCATTGGCTCAGTAAACAATTTTACTAAAAAGGAAACATTAAACTTCAATAAGTTCCTCAAAGTAAAGATAAAACATCAACTAAAACCCAATTTGAAATGATATAAGCTTGGCTTTTAAAGTTTAGATTCACATTTTGCATTAATACTCATCAATATTCTTTGAGTTTTGAAGAGTCAAAACTCTTAGCATGACATTTAAACAAACTCTTGGAAATCTGCAGGTTCAACTCGTTTACAACAAATATGATCTGCTTTGGACGCATATCATATTTGTTGAGAGATATTTTGTTATCTCAAAGTTTGAATCAATCACATATGCAATAAGTCCTTGCCCTTTGTCTTCTCAAAACCTCAAGAATCATAGCATATTCCACCTTCATCCACTCTGTCATCAAAAACCAAACCCCCTCTCCCTCTTATAGTGCTCATATGTCCCCATCACTCATCATGACTTTACCTTGCTCCTCATCTCAGGCTTCTTCGGGCCTCATCTCTCTTGTTCTCTTCTAGAGTCAAGCACAAACATTATTCCTCTTATGCTTGACTCCATCTCCTCTCAATGCATTGAAATCCCATATCCACACCCCAATACACGAAAATCAAATTTTAGATAAGATGTTAGTAGAGCTTTCTCCCCTAAAACTTCCCACAGTAAAGAAGAAAGAAAACAGTCTCTCGGACAGCAAAGAGAAAAGAACCAGCCTCACAACAGCACAAAAGCCACTCCTCTCCTTTCAGACTTTACCCAAGAGAAGGCAAAGCCCTCACAATGCCTCAAATACACACACACAGAATGAAGAAACGAGACACAAAAATGACAACACCTCCCCCACTCAAAATAAAATTTGGCCAACCCTAAGGAACTCCCTAAATGAGGTTTTTATAGCAAAAGAGGGAGGAGGAAGAATACCATCCCATCCCTCACCTGGGCGGTGAGCCGAGCCAAGAGAAGCGACAAACCTCGCGTAGGGAGAGGACGACAGAGGCGAGGCTTTGTCGCAGAGGAGCAGCTCGCGTGACACGGCGTGGAAGCTATTAGCCAGGGCTTCAGTGGGGACCGAAAGCTTCGACCAAGAGAGGAGAGGAGTTCGGCGAGTAAGAGGACAGCGGAGATCCGCGATTCAGGATGCCGATTGGGGAAGATTTGGTTCGCCCCCCTAGGGATCCGCCTGGATTGCGAGCGAACGAGATGGTCACGGGCACAGACGAGGGGGAGACGAGCCGAGCGCAAGACCGATCGAATGGAGAGTTTAATTGTGCGGGAGAAGGGGAAATAGAGATTAGGGTTTTATAAATATTATATAATTAAAAATATAAGTATGTTAAGTATTCTATCGGTCAAGCATAAACATCTAAAACATAGTTAAATTATTAATAAAAACTTTAAAATTTATTTTATATCTTACATCAAATTTTTTTATCGTATAATAGCTGCACAACAAATATGATAAAAAAATCATACTGATTTTACTCAGCCTCAATCTATTTTTCCCATTTTTGTGTAAGAATAGTCATAATAATCTTAGAAGCTACAATGTTCAGTAAAATAAATAAATTTGAATAAAAAATCAAATAACATGAGAATTAAAATAATTAACATGATCGAATCTAATTTTTAATGATCATTATAAAATAAATTGATTGGTCTAATAATAAATAATTTCTGAGAGAAAAAAATAAAAAAAAATATTAACATTACAATGTTATAAATACTGTTTTAACATGCACAATTGATATCGGGCTAGTTTAATTTTTCATGTGTATCCTTACCTCTCTTATTATAATCATTAGGTAGCATAGAAGGGAATATTTTCTATCAGCTTTAGAACATATCATGCATAGGAGATTATGTAATGGCTGGGTTCATCTTTGTCGCCCTATTTTTATAGTTGTCATAATTAAAACCATTAACTTTGAGGACCCTTTTGCCTTCATATGTACTTATTTTTATTGCTTTACCTATACAAGTTATTCCATTTATTAATGGGCTCATTTTCGTTGCTCAATTTATTCAGATATTAAAAATATCTTTCTTATCATGATATTTTTTACGCTCATTCTTTTTATTGAAAATGTAAATTTAAATAAATATATGATACATTTTAAAATATGCTGCACAGTTTTATATGCAAATGACCAATTTATAGATACCGAAAATCTCTATTTGAATGTGTCATCAACTAGCAAAATAATTATATAATCAAAATAAATTTCATTAGAGCTTATATCATTAAAGTTTTTATGTAGTCATGAATAATAAGGGGAATAGTTAGCTGGAAGCATATTTTCCTAAATATTAATGATTTTTATTATATCAAACCTATAAATTTAATTAAAAATAAATGTGCATGCAACAGTTAAAAAATTATTATATTATGTATTAGAATTTGCATAACTTACCCACTTGATAATTTCTTATTCAAGATAAACACCCTGAAAACAATTCACATGCTTAACAGACATGCATAATAATTTCTTTTTTCTTATACTACTGTAGTTTAGGAGTGTGAGGATTTACTGATTTTGGTTAGGTCACTATTGTTTTAAA